GCGCAAAAGGAACCAAGAGCACAACAGCAGAAGAGAGTGAATTTCCTTGTGCAGGGAATTAAGTATCCCAAATCTTCTCCTATTTGCAGTGGCCAATGACCTGTTTCCAGATGTGACTGAGAGCAAGCACCTTTCCTATGTCACCCCAACTTTACTGGACATGCATCTATTCTTCTCCTGTCCAGTCCCTTCCCCCAGTGATTTGCAGGGAATAGACATGTGGTTTCTTGGGGAATATAAAGCTTTAGCTTCTGGGTAAAGCTGCCTAAATGACATGCCTATAATGGCTGGCTTCCCCCTTTGCTCCTTTTCTGTTATTAATAACTAGGTTAATTACAACAGTATCAAGGTGAAGTGTCTTGATATTTGCAACTTATTTTAAATGTACACACCCAAAAAGCAAATAAGTAAAATTATAATAGTTGTCTCTAGACAGTGTAATATGGCTACGCGTTAGCATTGTTGTTTTAACTTTTCTGCATGTTTGAAAATTTTTATAATAGAAGAGAATGTTTTTACACTTACTTAAATACTATTTATTGATGACTTCCTTATGATGTGCAGTGCATTGCTGTAGATCCTATGAATACCAGGCAGCTGTACCTACATCACACCTCTGAGAATAACTTTTTAAAAAAATATATTTTTATTAGTTTTTTAGAGAGAGAAAAAGAGACATTGATGCGAGACAATCATCGATTGGCTGCCTCCCGCTTGCTACCTACCAGGAATCAAGCACACAACCCAGACATGTTCCCTGACTGGGAATCAGCCAGCGACCTCTTGGTGCACAAGAAAATGCCAAACCAACTGAGCTACACTGGCCAGGACAAGAATAACTTTTTTTTTTTCTTTATTGATTTTAGAGAGAGAGAATGGGAGAGGGAGAGAGACAGAAACATCAATGAGAGAGAACATCGATTGGCTGCCTCCTGCATGCTCCCCCTGGGGATCAGGCCCACAACCCGGGCATATGCCTTGACTGGGAATTGAACCAGTGACCTCTTGGTATATGGGTTGATGCTGAACCACTGAGCCACACCAGCCGGGCAAGAATAACTTTTTCTTTTAAACCACACTGTGTTTGGCATTATGTAACATGTACTTTGAGAACTGGGATAGAAAACAGCTCTGTGAAGTGCTTTGTATTATAAGGGTGTTTTCGAGACCATTTCTTACTGTATCGTATGATGGGTATTCTTTTGGGGAAAGATGAAACTTTGGGTTTCAGTAACAAGATTAGTTGTGCCGTTTCAGAGAAAGTGGATTTTGGCATGTTACAGACATTGAATAGGTAGGAGCAGAGCTTATGTTTTACTGGCTGCTAGAAGGTTCACGTCTCGAGCAAGTGCACTTCCCAGAGGCACTCCTAACTGCTTTCTAATTTTCCCTACCTATGCTCATTTTCTCCCAATTTGATTTCCTCATCTATTTTTTTTAAATATTTTTTTTTATTGATTTTAGAGAGAGAGGAAGTGAGAGGGAGAGAGAGGTAGAAATTGGGAATCGAACCGGTGACCTCTTGGTGTGTGGATTGACACCTAACAACTGAGCCACACCGACCAGGCACCTCATTTATTTTTTTGCTTGTATTTATTTTATAAGATATTTTATGCCAAACAACATGTTGGGCATATTAAAGCATTTAAAACAATGTAGCTTATAATTTGAAAGTCATCACCTAAAAGACAGTCATATAAGTTTTCTCCCAAATTCAGAGAAATTTTATCCTCTAAGCAAATTTAGACTAAGTGACTGTTACCAGAAAGTTTAAAAATTATATATATTGAAATATGATTAAGATATAAAATACCCTATTGTATAAGGAGGTTTAATGCAGGAGATTCCATGGAAATTAATTCTTTTTTTTATCCTCACCTGAGGACATTTTTCCATTTTTTGTTCAGGTACAGTGGGAGGGAGAGAGAGGAACAGAGAGAGAGAGAGAGAGAGAGAGAAACATTGACGTGAAAGGGACACATCGAGTGGCTGCCACCCGCACGACCAACCCGGGCCGGGGACAAACTGCAACCAAGGTATGTGCTCTTAACGGGAACCGAACTCGAGTCTCTCTGGACCGCAGGCCAACGCTCTAACCGCTGAGCCAAACCGGCCAGGGCAAGTTCTTTTTTATTTATTTTTAATTGATTTTAGAGAGAGAAGAAGGGAGAGGGAGAGAAAGAGAGAAACATTGATGAGAGAGAACATTGATTGGCTGCCTCCTGCATGCCCCGTACTGGGGATTGAGCCTACCACCTGGTTATGTGCCCTGACCAGGAATTGAACTGGCAGCCTCTTGGTGCATGGGTTGATGCTCAACCACTGAGCCATACCGTCCAGGCTGGAAATGAATTTTAACAGCAGTTTGAATTGAGCATTTTCCTTAGAATTTTATTTAATTTTTTTTTCCCAAATAATGAAGGGAAGTAATATATGCCATTGTTTTTCCTTTAGCATTTCTGAAAGAATTATGATGTACAAAAAAATCCTAATGAAAGATTATATTATTCTTAAATGGTATTCAACTTCCTTTTCCCCTACAATAGTTTTGTCCTTCGGTTAAAGGATACTTTATATTTTATAAAATATTTTTCAGCATCAGCATGTTGATACACCTATTATATTTACAATTTATTCTTGCTACCTTCTTGAGAGTTGAAGTCCTTACCCATTTCTTTTTGGGACTGCTGTATTATATTACCAAAGATGCTCTGTCTGACAGCAGAATATTTAAAGCAGGGATAACATTTACTATAAAATATGCTGTATGCATTAGTGATGCCTAAGACATTTTTAAGACGTCATGTATATATTAAGTAGGAGTGTATTTTGATACACCTTAAGTTTATTGTAACCTTTTTAAAAAGAAATATTCACTTGATAAATAAGGCTTTCTTCTTTAACTAGGATTCCTAAGTTCAATGGAATCTTTTTCCTTTAAAGGTCTGGAAAGTAGCTTGTCAAATTAAATGATCTTTCAAGACTTTTGTACTTAGAAAACTAAGTTTCATTTTATATTTGGGGGATGCTTAAATCTTAACTTTAATAAACTTAATATGAAGTATCCTTTAGCAGAAGGATGATACTATTGTTGGGGGAAAGGAATTTGAACATCATTCAAGAGTAACTAATATAATAGTTGTAAACATCATTGGTGTGAGTACAATAAGGTCAGATTGCTGTGTTCTTTGCCCCAGGCAGAATGATCCCTAAAACTAAGACTTAGCTTTCATTGCTCACATCTCTGGAATTTACTTTTTCTTGTTTGCGAAAATACAGTAAGCAAGGTGTGCAGTTCTCTCTCTTTCTGCAATTATTTTACGTGGAAGTACTATTCTCATTCTTACTTCCATTCATTTCTAACACATGGAAATCAAGTTTAATTTTGTAGTAGTGCCTGTTAGTCATGTGAGCTCTGCACAGCTTCTCCATTTATACTGCTTCACACATCACTCACAGGACAAGTTCCCACAAAGACCTGTTTTGTTCTACTATCAATCCACCTAAAGAAACCAGTTTCAAAACTATGCACAGCTTTGTAAATCAAGATGAACTGGTCAGAAATTGGATACAGAAACAAACAAGAAACCAAGTAATTCTTCCTAGTTAACAAGCAGAGTGTTATATATAATCAAATTGCATTCTAAGCATATTCTAATTAGAAAGTTTATATCATATTCATATTGTAATCATAGTCAAGTCGTTAGCTTGTTCTTATTGCTAGAGTTATGAACATATAATTAATGCTTTCAGTAAGATATTGTAGGGAACAGAAGTTAGTGAGAACAAATGATGAAATGGGAACTTTAGTTCTGGGTATTTCCTAGCAAGCCTTGTAGACAATAACTAAGTATCAAGGTTGGTAAGACGAGGAGTTTGATATCAAGCACAGATTTTCTTCTTTCAGGCAACAATTAGCAGACCACAGTAAGAAGGAATATAATGGCATAAGAATTTATTTTCTCAGGGGCTCTCCCTCTAGGTCAGGAAGAAAGGAACACTCATACACAGCTCATAAACACAGACTGGTGTTTTTCACCACAGAATTAAATTCAAGCATAATATACTCACAGCTTAATTTATGGTATTTGAAAATACCCTTGCAGTATTTTCTCTTTCAATAAATGTTTTGTAAAATTATTTCACCTTCTTGTTTAGAATTTTGTCGGAAGTTTTGTTTCAGATGATTGCTGAACATTGTACTTTTCTTTTCTTATTTTTTTAATCCTCACCCAAGGACATTTTTTCATTTCTTGTTCAGATAGAGTGGGAGGGAGAGAGAGGAAGAGAAACATCGATGTGAAAAGGACACATTGAGTGGTTGCCACCCTCATGACCCAGCCAGGGCCGGGGACAAATTGCAACCGAGGTACGTGCCCTTAGCAGGAACCAAACCCAGGTCTCTCTGGACCGCAGGCCTACGCTCTAACCGCTGAGTCAAACCAGCCAGGGCAACATCGTACTTTTAACTTAGTACCAAATAAAAATAACCTTCCAAAGAATCTGCTTCTTTCATGATGCTTTTCTTTTTCCTCTTGAAAAGTAAAAAAAAAAGAAACTGTAGGACTAAGTTCTAAGTCTCATTTCTCAACTGGTAAGGTGTGAATTGTCAAAAGAGTGGTCTTAAAATATGAATTAGGTTTTTTCTTTACTATTACATTTTTACTGAGGTATAATTTACAGTAAAATGCACATAACTTAACTGTATAGTTTGATTTTTAACATATGAACATAGCAGAATCAATGGTGAGGACTTTCTCAAAATACTCCTGCCAGCAGGTTAAAAAATTTCCTAGATGGTTCTGAGCGACACCAGTTAAGAATCTTTGCTTTTGTAAAGAACCAGATTGACTAATGTACATAAAAATACATATAATAAAGTCTTAACACAGATTAACACTTTTTAAAAATTTACATTTCCTGTGTGGCTTTTTCATGGGGTTTGCAATGCTGACTCTCACAGATGAAATTCTCAGTGTGCTTTTCTGTTTGTTTTTAAGAAAATTAATACAAAACTTCATGATGGAGTATGTCAGCGCTGTAAAGAAGTTCTTGAGTGGCGTGTAAAATACAGCAAATACAAACCATTGTCAAAGCCTAAAAAATGGTGAGTTAAGTTTCTTCATTACTTTACCAGTATTATATAGTTTATTTCATTCCCCAGTTTTCGAAATTGTGTTCAAATAAGTATTAAGGTAAATAGAGAAAAAAATTCCATTCTCCCATGTAGCATTTTATCTTACATGCTGAATTTTGCTTTGTGAAGGCAGATTGAAAAAGTGAATTGATTATTCCCTGCCCCATTCTCCCATAAATAAATTATACACCATTTTATAGACTCTTGTTCCTAAAAGGTGTATTAGGGTAGAGAGAAGAATATTTGTTTTGCAAAAGTTTCACTAATAACAGTATTTACTATGGATCATCTTTACCAAGGGGGTCTTAAAAAGGGTCTGACTTTTTTTTTTTTTTTTTTAATCCTCCCCTGAGGACATTTTTCCAGTTTTTGTTCAGATAGAGTGGGAGGGACGGATAGAGGGAGGGAGGGAGGGAGGGAGAGAGAGAAAGAGAGAAAAAGAAACATCGAGAGAGAGAGAGAGAGAGAGAGAGAGAGAGAGAGAGAGAGAGAGAGAGAAACATCGATGTGAAAGGGACACATCGAGTGGCTGCCACCCGCACAACCGACCAGGGCTAGGGACAAATTGCAACCGAGGTACATGCCCTTAGTGGGAACCGAACCCGGGTCTCTCTGGACCACAGACCGACGTTCTCATCGCTGAGCCAAACCCGCCAGGGCTGTTCCTTATATTCTTTAGCTCAGCTGAATTAAGCACCAAATTGGAGAGCAATTGCTGCTTAACAGAGAAAAGTGATCATTTTAAATATAATAGTTTGCATCAATATGTGTGATAGTGTTTTTACATTGAGTTTTAATTTGGTAGTCTATATAGTAGCTATTTAGAACATAGTTGTTCATTATTGATTTATTTTCCTTTTAGTTTTTGAGTAGTGGCAACTTCCTTAAATGTATTCTCTCATCCTTAATGGGAGGAAATTTTACTGAAAGTCTGGGAACTTCATCTAAAAAATAAATATGATATAATCTTTGCTGTTTATTTTTATTGAAATGTCAGACAGTTTGCAAATCTATAAATCAAACTATAGTGTAATTTGTTTTATTGAGAATATTTAACAGTTTTGAAATTTTTATTTCGAACAGTTTATTTTGCCTAAGATGCTTTTTAAAAAAAAAATATATATATATATATTGAAAGGTAAAAGCCTCGAGGAAGGATAGATTAACATTAGCTGTTTAATTTTTACTATTTATTATAGATATAGTTGACCCCTTTTTAAACAGGTAGACAGGTTTCTCTCTGCTCCATTTAGTGATTTTGGGTGTGTGTGTGTGTTCTCTAGCATTTCCTCCCCAAAGAATACACTTTGAAACAAATCTGAAGAGTTTTATGTTCACCAGCCCAAATTAGCAGTAGGGAAATTTGGTAACTGTTTGTATCCAATGCTAGATTTCTATGAATGAGTTAACTGTGTTCTCTAGCATTGAAATTAGATGCTGGTTGTGCTAATAAAGCATATACTTTTAGTTAATAGGTCTAATATAAGATTTGTAGCCTTCTGAGTATTTTCAGCAAGTCTTTCTATAAGGTTATTTAGAGGTCATCACACTCTCCATTTTTTCTATTGGTAGCATTATTTTCTAAAAGAGTTTGAAGTATAGGTAATAAATATTTACTTAGCCATAGAGTTTTAATAGATTAGTATTATAACAAAAAAAATTATTTAAAAACATCCCTGACGTATCCATTGTTTGCATTTTAATTTCTTATCTTTCATATGTGCTATATCCTGTATGTTTATCTTCATTATGAACATGACAGTGTGTAAAAGATTGTATTATTATAAATTTTGCAGATGCTGTGATTTTCTGTAGAATTTCTGAATTTATTTATTTGAGACAGTTCTTCAATTTTTTTTTTTTGTATGTGTATTACTGTGATTTTAATATTATTATTGCTCCAGAAGAATTTGCATACTTTAAATCCTGGAAGGACAAATATTTTCTCCAGAAGGAAACAAATACTCAGTTTAAAAAACGTTAAAGGAAATGGTATTAATAGCAAATCCTATATTCAGTTCCAGAAAACATGTAACACAGCAGCAACCTCTAAGAGTGGTTGGATGTGGACACGTGGACCCAAAGGTCAACAACTCTGTCCTATCTTGGAGTCAGGAAAGTTCATGGTGATGTTGCCACTGCCTGGGCAGTATAGTGTAACCCAGAGGCCTTTGGAAGACCTCAATTAGGTCAAGAAGATGAGGACGTCAGGAGCTACTACTGGTCCACATCACCCTGAGGCAGATGAGGTTAGACATAGAACAGCTGGTGATGAGTGCAAAATGAGGAAAATAAAATATTGCAAAATACCAGAATACAAGATAACAGGACATTAAAGCCTAAAGGAAGATCTCTAGGAATAAAGAAGCCTGAGGCAAAAGAAACAAATGATGGTTAATGAGAGACTAAGAAACTACTAGTTAAAACATGATCCAAACATGTTACTTAAGAGGTCACCTGCCTGGCCTGGAACATCTTGAATTTCAGATTACACTGAACATGTGGCACATTAGGCATTTTAGAAAGCCGAGCTTTCAAACTCTAATCCCGCCTTTAGAGTCTTGTAGAAAGTAGAAGTCATCTATATCCACCTTGCTTTCTTTGCATGTTAAGACTTGACCAACATTCTAAGGGATTTAAATCCAATGATGAAAGATATTAATGGCAGTGAAGAGACCAAAATTATGCCATTCTGAAGCTGCTTTTTGGGCTATTGATTTTAAGCTGTTTATTAAGAAAGAAAAGACTCAGGAAGAAACTTTGACCCTCCCCCCCTTCCTGCCTAAAAGATTTAGACAGAGAAACTAGCTTCAGGAAGGAGATCTTAAGATGTTCCCCTTAGCCCAATTTGAATTAAGTATGGTAAACAAGAGAACTTCAGGCAGGTGCCTATTAGCTAGATACCCACTGTGTCCCATTGTTTCTGAGTCGCCTAGCACAGATTTTCCTGCCCTGTGCGTTTTGTCCTCCTTCAACTACCTGTAAATCCCCCATTCTCACTTCTGAAACCTAATAACCTGCTATCCCCTCCCCTTTTCTTCTTTGTCCAATAATATCTTATATAACACATGTCTGCAATTTTTATGGATTTATCATGTCTATGTGAATTCCTCATGTGCATGCATTAAACTTTATTTTCTCCTGTTAATCTCTATTAATTTGGTTATTAGCCCAGCCAGAAGAATTTAGAAGGTGGGAGGAAAAGTTTTTTTTTTTAGATCCCCACAGTAGCATAATCTGTTTTAAAATTTTTAATGTTTTGTTCAAGTTAATCACTTACAAATTAAATTTTTCCTTTGTTAGGATTTAAACTTATTTATATACTGCCTTAATATATATATATATATATCCCTCCCCAGCCCTGGTTGATCGTGCAGGTGGCAGCCACTTGATGTGTCCTTTGCAGGTCGATGATGTTTCTCTGTCTCTTTCTGTTCCTCTCTCTCCCTCCTACTCTATCTGAACAAAAAATGGAAAAAAGTGTCCTCGGGTGAGGATAAAAAAATAAATTAAATAAAATAAATACACACACACACACACACAACACACATATATGTGTCTAGAAAAATAGATTTTATGTTCTGGTACTGAAATCCCTAAACGGGGACCTAGAAACTTCTTATACCTTGTATTTCAGGTAACTAAGCAATCCTTTTCTATTACTTTAGAAATATAGTAGGCAAATACCCAAACTTGTGTTAGAATCTCTAGCCTGCTTCTTTTTTCTTTCTACCCATAAAAGAAAAATCCACCAATAATAGGAGAAGCTGGAATAAAACAGAAACAGGCCAAAAACAGATTGAGGCCTGAGTTTAGAATTGGACCTGTAAGTCCTCTATATCAGTAGTTCTCGGTAGGAAAGGGGATTTTGCCCCCAGCAGACACCTGGGAATGTCTGGAGACCTTTTTTAGTGTCATGACTAGAGGATCTGGGAGTGATGGTACCGGCATATAGTAAATGCTGCTAAACATCCTACAATACACAGGACACCCCCACAACAAAGATGTATTCAACCCGACATGTCAGTTCTGTCTTGGTTGAGAAAACCTGCTATGCACAAAATCAATGGATACTCACAAGGTGAAGCCACTGAAGCGTCACATATATATTGTGGGGGCTAAAAAAATGTTAATATTCTACTTTTCAACTTCTAAGTTTTTCTAGGTTGAGCTAATAATAAAATTAACAGGAGAAAATCAAGTTTTTAATACATGCGCATGGGGCTGGCCGGTGTGACTCAGTGGATTGAGTGTCATCCCATGCACTGAGAAATCCCAGTTCGAGTCCCATTCAGGGCACATGCTTGGGTTGTAGGCTCTATCCCTGGTTTCTCTCTCACATCGATGTTTCTGTCTCTCTTTCCCTTCCTCTCCCTCTAAAAAATCAATTAAAAAACATTTAATACGTGCACATGAGGAATTCACATTGTCATAAAAATTCCAAACACTGGCAACATTGGGCATATAAGACATTTTTGGACAAAGGAGAAAAGGGGGGATGGGATGGAGTCTTCGATTTCAGGAGTGAGAATGGGCAGTTGACAGGTAGTTGAGGGCAAGCAGAAGGGTTCTTCTAAGGCAGCTCCAACACAATGGGACACAGCGGGTGAGGAGAGGGGAGAGGGGCCGGTATCTGGCAAACAAGCCTGGAGTCTTCCTGACTAATGCCAGGGTGAAGATTCTCAAGGTGATTAGACCAAGTCTCCCTTCCCAAAGCAGGTTCCTGTCTGAATCACTGGGGCAGGAAAGGGGGGAGGGTCAAAGGTTCTTTCTGAGTCTTTTGTTTCTTAATAAACAGTTTAAAATCAATATGCCAAACAGGCAGCTGCAGGGTGGCAAAGCTTTGGTCCCTTCAGTATATTAGGTCAGTGTTTTTCAGATTTGTCAGCTATAGAATTCTTAAATAAAACAAAAGCTTACCCAGGACTTCATTAAATACAGCAGGCCAAAACAGAATGGTCCTGAATGGG